CCTCACCCGCCTCCAATGCACACGTAATGAGCCACAGCACCCAGGTGTGATGCATTTCAAGAAGATGGGCAAAGCTGAGGGCACCTCAGGGCAGAGTGTGGAGCACCAGCACCTCAGAGGTTCAGTTTTGGCTACAGCTGTTACTGAAGAAGTATTAAAGAGCCTCACCAATTAGTAGCCATGCCTGCACACTGCCTGCGCTCAGCTTTTTTTACTGAAGCATGACTGCTAAAGGACATCCAGAGCTCAGGATATTGGTGTTTTGACTTCTGAAAGACGTTTAACTGAAGGTTTAAATGCTGGTTTTGGGCACAGGCAGATAACGCCAGCTCACTGTGCTGAAGTACAGCAGCAGGACCCCCAAGGGGTTCTGAGAAACCTTGTCAGCGGGGAAGCCGCTGGACTCCTAGGCACCCGTGTATTTAATCCATGCACAAACTGCACCATTTGCTGGAAGGAATAAAACTGATAGTTCTGGATACATAGAGTCTTTTTTGTAGAAACAAAAAGCTTTTTTTCCTTCCAGAACCGCTTTGATGGATCATAGCCAGAACAACTCCACATCTTCCACCTACCTCAGAAAGTTTCGTGCGTTTTCCTTCAAGAAAACCAGACCACCTGCAAAGAATGACCTTCAATGACGTAGTAATTTGCTGTGGTTGCTCTTTTCCAGCTGTGGGAATGTCTAAATTACAACACTAAAAGGGGATATAACCTACAGCTGTACAGAAACATGCCCCTCTAGTTCCAGCAGTAAAAGAACGGGCCCATCTGAAAATCCAGCTCGCTGTCCTAACAGCTTTGAGCGGACGCTGGTGCTGTTCTACCACCAGGGAATCAAGGGCTTGTGTTTCCTGTGCTCAGCAACCCCTGCAGCCTCCTTCTGCGGAGAGCCTCCGACAGGAGAACAGCTCGGAGCCAACTGCAACCCTGCGCAAAGGGAAAGCAAACACCTTTCTTTGAAGCAGGTTCCCTGAGCTCGCTCCCTCCTCACGCCCTGGGAATCAAGGCTAAACATCCGCGTTCGCACGGGTCCTCCTGTGCTCCCGCCGGAGACTACTCCGGTTTCACAAACAAAAGTTGGGCTCCAGCTGGAAGTTTTGCAACGTCTTCCTTGCATTCTACCTAAGCAGTTGCTCCATCTCCTCTTCCCAGCTAATCCCTGTGGAGCTGGGTGCTTTACTAAAACAATATTTGCACTACCCTTAAAGGGCTGGCTTTCTCCGCACTGCTCGGCTTCGGGGTCACTAGCACTTTCTCCACAGGCCTTTGCAAAGCAAAGGAAAAAAAGCACAATGCGAGGGTGGAAAAGCTCAACCACCGAAGCTCATACTCAAATAGCACACATTGGCAGTATGCCAGTGTATAACACATGTACATACCACATTTTAATGCAGTACACATATGTATGCATGCATGTTTATTTATGTCACATATATAATCCACATATAAATTCCCCTACAATAAATGGCAACTTTGGAGAAAAAAAAAATGAAAAAAAGATCATTTTCAGACTGTCAGGTGCATCAGCAGCTATCAGAAATGGTAACTATGGCTTCAGGCAAGGTACATTTTCAACACTAGATACATATAATGATAAGGGATGATTCCCTAAACACAAACACAAAGGTACAACATTGCATGGAGAGAATATTCATAACAATTTTGAATTTTCCTTTGGAACAAAGAACGGGACACTAACAAAAAAGTTACAGCAAGGATCTCTGCTATCTTCATGAAGAGAACAGACACATGAGCAGTAAATAACACGGGTCTTAGAAATAAACACACTTCTCAAATGCTTTGGCTCTGTTCATTCTATTTCATGCACTAATCTCACTTCTCTTAACAGATTTCAGACCACATCGTGGTGGTTGGGAAATCACACAGGGATCTCCCCTATGTTACCATTTAGCTTGAAGTCTGTGAATCAGCCTTTAGTAGCCCATAACACTGAAGAACGTGGTACGTACAGGCACTGGAAAAGACAACAACTGGAAAGGTCACAAGTTCCCACTCCTGCAAGAGATCTTGCAAGTTCACAGAACAGGAAATTAAAGTAATAAATGCTGAAAGAGCTCAAGCAATTTCACTTGGCTGTAAACACACAAGTTAGCCCCAAGATTTTTCAAAAAGCAAATTTCCATGAGGCAGCACCAGCTGGCAGCTCGGGCTACCCACTGCAGCCATGGGGTCAGAGAGAGCAGAGCGTCCTGAGCACGACACGGGCCAAGAGGAGGCAGCCAGCAAAGCTCTCGTAGCCTGAATTCGTTACTTGCTCTTCCCAATTCCTCCCCTCTCTGGAAATGTGACCATTTAGCAGCAGAAGAGACGCTATAACAGGCAAGCACCAATATGTAAAAAATAAATGATATTAAGAACTTATCTTTCAAATTGAAGAACATTTCCATTTAAAGAAACTCTGGACTAAAGGAGGAGATCAGGCTAAAGTTTTCAAACCCAACCACCAGGAACAAGGATGTTCAGACCATGTTAGGAATCATTTAGATAAAAATGAGTCAATGTTTTTCAGGTCCCTCCTCCTGAAAACTACCAAAAAGCTCCGCACATGTGGGGTTGTGGGGAGGGGTGTAGAAGAAAGTCGGAGGATTTTCTAGGCTAAAGTTAGCAATTAGGCACCTGATGGGCCCCGGTAACTTGGGAGCAGCCCTAGTGCTTGCACTAAAGATTACACAGATTTTCTTGCATCCTCAAGAGTTCTCTTGAAGCACTCAAAAGAAAAACACCCTGACCAGCAAAAGCTGATGCAATGGACTGCAAAGTCCCTCCTGACTTGGTTCCAAATGTGCTCTCACAGTTGACATTTACTCCAGTCGAAACTGTTTGCCTCTCCTTCAGCAGTTTTCTTTTCAGCTGCCCCTTCCCTACCACTACTCTCACTTGGCTGAGCCAGAATACAAAGGCTCACAGTTAGAAACCTCATTTCCAATCCCAGACAAATTTTGATTGGCTGATTTTTTTTTAATATTAGAACAAACAAACAAAAAAGCAGAAGCATAAAAAGCTCCAAGAATCCACCAACACCAGACATTTTTTGGTCACCAGTTGGTACCTCATTTTTTGAGGCATTGACAAAAAAACTGTTGCATAAAATATCTGCTTTGGTCTTTATTTTGTTATTGGGCGTTGTATTTATATACTTTATCCTTGCTCGGAAATAGTTTTTAGACAAACATAGGCTCACAGCTTTCAAGCTCCTTTTGGGGGGGTATTAAATCCAGGATGTAATTAAAGCTTTATTATTAGGAATGTTTTCTTTTCAGGAGCCCAGCAGGCTTTCTAGAATGCCAAAATCTTGTTTAGATCTTTTTCAAGTAATTTGGCAAACCATAAAACACAAGGAGCCAGCAGGGACAGTTCATTATTGAAAAATGCTCTGAACAGCAGAAGGAAGGAGTCAACTTCTTATAAGCTCCAAAGAAACTGGAAACTAGTAGCAGGGAGAGGAATTTAAAAAGAAAGAATAAAAGGTGAGGGGAAAAAAAAATCAGTCACAGAAGTTGAACATTTGGACAGGCAGGGTGCATAATGAATACTGTAAAACACTTTCCATGGGAGATCCAGGAAACGCTTTTCCAAAACTGCAGAGCTAAGTGCTTGTAAGGGCTTGTAATAGTGGAAATACACAGCCCCCATGGGCCAGGAACACACTAACTGATTTACTGAAGCTGTGGTTAGGGAAGGAAGATGTAAACTGGTACCATGTTATTACCACTTCTCCAGAGGCAAAAGCCACGCGCAGTTACCAAAGGGCAACACCACCAGTTTTGTTGGAACCGTCGCTTTTATTCTGCCGAGAAACATTTGCAGGAAGTCAGCAAACTCACACTTGACTTTTCAGGAATAAGGGGGCCTCAGCACCCGTGTATTGCTGTCAGTGCTGTACCTGTGCAGATGGAGCAGGGCATTTTCAAAGCACTGCTGGGAGAAACCCACAAGATAATTTCAGATAAACGTAATGATACAGGTGAATGTTAATGAAATCCACACGGTTTGTAGCTGAGGCGCGTGACATAGCGAGAAATGATCCCATCAGATGAAGTAAAGCATCACGGTATTCCTTTCAGTCATCTTTACAGTTTAAACAAACCGTGAAAGACAAGACACAACTCACTTCTAAGTTACATGATGAGCACAAAAAGTCACAAGACACAGATGACACGATTCATAATGCAGAGAAACAAATGCAAAAATGAGAAAGCACATTTGCTGATACTCCACAAATACTTTGAGGAGGCTAAACATGCAAAAATGAATTTCTTCAGCAGTAGTAATTAAACTAAGATGAGGCAAGGATCTTCTTTACAAAGTAAAGGCACCATCTCTTTGTAAACATGTACTCCTCTCACTTAAACTGAGAAAGCACTCAAAATATTCTTAGAGGCAATCTGAATGGTAGCTTTCCATTGCCTATGAACACTTCACAGTAGAGCTGTCAAAGGTCTTATTCTTTCTTTTTATAAGGAACTCTTCTTCAGTTTGTCTAGCAGGAAACTCTTTGGATTTCCCCCCAAATGTTATGATGAACCTACAAGGAACTGTCCTCTCTTAAATGCCTTCTAGTATCTATCAAGAAGTTTCAAGGCAGAAGAAATATCAGATGCCAGTATCAAATATCCATGACTGTAGTCATCTCTTATTTTCAGTATTGTGCTATAGACAAAGTTTCCCAGAATGAACATTTAGTTTACACCAGATATAGTAAAAAAAGAAATAAAAACAAATAAAAAAACAGAAGTATCAATACCCTCCAGTTCTGCAGCTACCTACTCTCTGACTTTTCAAGTACACTGGGAAAAATCTGAATTAACTAATTCTTGATTTCTTGGAAAATAAATAAAAATTAAGTGTTTCTGATACGATTGTACTTTAGGTTTCCAGATTTTTCTGTGTGCACCCTGAATGTCTGTTCCTCCCAGGAGAGGAGAGCATTCACACAGTACTTTACTAGTGAAACTACTTTACTAGTGAACTTGGAAACCGCGAGGATGAACATTCCATACAAAGGTAAATTGTTCGCCTTGGGCAAAATGAATCAGGCATCTTCACAGTTTCCACTGCACAAATATCACCAGTATCTAACAAATACATTTTAATACTCATATACATACAAATCCAGTGATTACACTAATTAGTATTGTTCAGCGTTCAACCAAAATTGTGCGTTTCAAAGTCACCTTCTTTCAGTCTCACAAAGAAGACTGAACTTTTAATGCAGTACAAGTTTCATGGTCTACAGGACTGTCAACTGGTACCTGTAAAATAAACAAATAAACAGGAATCAAGCTGTTATGTAGCAGAAGCTGCTCCTATCCTCAGTATTCCTGGGCAATTACTGGGTTAATTAGACCACACTTATATAACATGGTCAATTAGTTGAGATAGACACTTAACGAAAGCCTTGTTGTCCCTTTTTTGGTATTACTCCAAGAGACATATTCATCACATATAGCTACTGATCATCACATTTTGACTTTCACAAACAAACTTTTGGGTTTTTTTCTCCATTACATTTAAATACAGCAGAATCTTGGTGATCATCCTTATTTCCAGTAGTGCCTGGAAAGCTGCTGAAAGCTGGTCTTGGGATCTCAGTCTCCCTCTAAATTTAAGGGGGTGCTCAGAAAAAGAATGGACTAATTCTTTGATGAAATATAGTGTAAAAACTGCAGCACGACTTTTGCTCGTTACACCCTGACTCATCTTAAAGGAATGCCACTTCCTTCTAATGAAAAGTGTAGTGTAACTCCTAGACCAACACATAAAAATGCTTCACAACTTACAACGCTAACTGCAGGCGTGAAAGAGCTAGATTCAAATAATAAAAACAGAGATCAATATCAACCACCTAAATTGCAGGAAAGAAAATGTGAGTGGAAGGTGTTTTACTAGGGGGAGAAACAGATATCTGAGGATAGGGACCCATGTAACTGTTGTTCCAGTAGAACAAGGAAGAAGTCACATTACAGGTTCATGTCAACTATGCCTTTGCTGTTAATATGATCATACCCATGGAAGCCAAGCATTCAAGGACAATAATACAATCAAGGGAAAAGATTCAGCACTTACGGCTTTAACGTCCACGTTCATAATCCCTGAATTCACATTGTGTCTTCGCAAATCTGATTTTATTAAGGCTGAAACAATCAAGCAAACAGAGAAGGCCGTGTTGACTCAGTAATGACATTCCTTCCAAGAAGGATGTTTTGTACAACAAAGCACACAGGAGCTACTTTCAGCATATACTCAAAATTCCTGTACTCATTCTTATGCAATCAGCACTGCTTCACTTCTTACCAACAATCTGAACTTGCTCCTCACATATCACATGCAAAAAAATCACACTAAGAACTTTTAAATCACGAGTACCTCCAGCAAAATTTGATGGTTTTGACACCATCAGCACACTTCCAAAGTACTGGTGTGTGCAAATTCCTGCCACAGCTTATAACATCAGCAATTCCTCATATTTGGGCAACTGCAAACTGTCTGTATATAAGCATTTGTTTGCATTTACTAGCCTACTCCAAGATAGACATCTGCCTCAAGGCCAAGACACCATTCAAGAAATGCATCCAAACAGATGGTAGTTCACATACAAGCAACACCATCCTTGAGCAGAAGGTGTATGCACAGCACGTACTTAAATAACACACACATGCACACACGCACAAAAAACAAAACACCCTCCACTTATGACTAACTTTTGTCCTCAGCCCAGACAGGAAAGCCAAGCAATTAAACACTCAATATCCAAGTTTCACATAAATTCACTAGCTAAAAATCCCCAAATGATTAGATAAGAGGTAAGTCATTGCTTGTGTTTCTAATTACCTGTTAAGATAATGCCCACAAACATCCAAGCACAAAGAAAGAGGTTTCCTGCACGAGGACTGTAGTTTGTTGTGAGCTTTCCTTGAACAAGAGTAAAGATAATTCCAAATATCTGCAAACAAATAAGTCTATCAGTATTGCAGGGAAAGAATTCACCATCTTTTGTTTTGCTTGCACAGTGTCAGACTACATCTTATAGAAATCAAATTAAAAAAGACTAGAGCAATATAGCAAGGACATAGCAGCCAAATCTAAGAAAGCCTTCTCAGACTCCAGCAGAGCAAGGCACAGAGTGCAGAGTAGCAGAGTATTATTTCACTTGAAGAAATGATATAACCTGTGCTGACGCGTTAAGGAGCCCTGATGAAGTGCCTTCAGACTCGGGGTATGTGATTTCCACAGCAAATTCAAACCCGAGTGGAAGATAGCCAGTCATGAAAAACCTGTTAAGAGGAAAATAAGAGGATGACAAGGTGGCTTTTATCTATTATCACTGCTAAGAAAACCAAGGCATAAAAATATGCTAGTGCGAACTAGCTGTTATTCTGGACTAGCTGTCTGCTTTCAAAACCTAATTCAGGATTCAGGTCTTGAATTGAGCCCTGAATTCAGGATGTGTTTGTTTTCCCCCATCTCATTTCCCTGATCTCATCCAACTATTTCTGCCATACCTCTTTCTTGGAGGACAAATACATTTTAATATATTTAATATATGTGCCCTGTTTCCCATAACCACCTGCACTCCACAAGCACGAAACAGCCTTCTTCACAAAGTCCACAAATCACTGCATGAACTAATTACTTCCAAATATAAGACATATGCAGAGCTCAATCTAAAGAATCATGTCATGTGGGAAAGAGACCACGAGTAGTGGGATGGATGGACACTGTGATGGCAACCAGCAGCTCCCCTGCAAGGGGCTGAAGGGCAGATGGGTGTGAGGAAGGACAGGGGCTTCACACAGTTTGGGTGGTGGTTTCTAAATTGAACCTCCCAAGAGAAGCTTCAGCTGCTCCCCTGCCCATCCTGTCTAGACAGGGCATTACACCCTCAGCATCTCTGGGGTTTTCTAGGTTTTACATCTCTCAGGACTGTGATACATGTTTTTAATCAATTGACAAAGCACCAAATAGATCACCTGGGCTAACAAAATATAAATTAGTAACACACACAGAAGCTAGTCTTCCTAAACATACTCCATTAGACTCCAGTCAAATAGCCACTGAAGACATGAAGCAGATTTAACTTTATTCCAGTGGACTTTGTGAATTGCAATGAAACAAACTGGCCACATACAGACTTCCGTTGGGGTGGTTACAATTTTAAATGCAATTCACTTTAGATGAAATGTAATTTAACATACATCTTAATTTACATTGATGTAACAGAAGGTGAGGTATTATTAAACTGCAACTGTACTATAAGATATAGATATATGTTGTGAGTATGGCATCAGAGTATGCAGCAGCATAGTTAACATGGCCATTAGCTTTTCACATTGTCACAGACACTGTCTGTGAGCAGAACAGCTGCCCCCTTTAACTGCTTACCCAAGTACTCCTCCAGTCACAAACACCACGATGAGGTACCCGAGATCCAGGGTGAACGTAAACACCACCATCCCAATAAAAGACAAAATGTAAACAATCAAAGTAGTTTGCCTGCAACCCAACAAGAAACATACACACGTTGTTAACGTAAGACCATGGCATGTTGCTGAAGTATGACAAAGTCATAAAAACGTCACTTTAGAACTGACATTCTGCAGTTGGGAAATTTGCTTCATGTAACGTTGACTCAAACACATCATGCACTTCCATGTAGGTGCATCCCTTCCCCAACTCCTTATTCCCTTAGTTCTACGGCTGCTTCACTCAAGACTAAGAGAAATTCTCAGATTCTTAAAGAATAATCACATCAGATACTATTACCTCGAGGCTGTTTTAGTTCTCTCGGTCATCCTGCAGGATAGGCCATTACACAAAAATTGAAAGATGAGCAGTCAAATCAAACGTTATTAGTGCTAAAAGTCGGCCTAAGGGGCAAGTCAAACAAACCCCATTTGGGTGTTTTAATCTGAAATAATGATTGTCATCAAAAAAAAAAAAACCACATAATTTATTTACAGGCCAAGCCACATGCAGAAATAAGGCCAATCTAGAAGATTAACATCCATTATGCTCCTGGAGTCCTTGCACATCCGACTCACCAGGGGAGAGCTCTTTCCAGAGCCCATCCTCGTGTTTCGGCAAGCAGCACATGGACACGCTGCCCATGCCATGGGTGAACTGCCCAGAGCTCCTACCCCCAAAACACAGTTCTGCTCTGTTGGCATCCATCCCCTGAATTAAAGCAAGTGTTGGCCTTATCAAAAGGCTCAGAAAAAGCGTTTAAAAAAAAGAAAAAAAAAAAGAGAGAGAATCTATTGATCGTCTGCTGCACAAAAAAAAAAAAAACCAACCAAAGGAAAAAAAAAAACAGACTGCGCTTTCAGCCTTCATGTGGTCCCTCAAGGAGGAGGAGACAAGCTGGCCACCTCATGCAGCACATACAAGGCTTTTCTTATTAGCATTACACTCCTTGCAGGGCAAGGGTAAGGACTAGATAGAAACCCCCTTCAGCTCCTCACATTCTCCACAGCATTCCCTCTCTCTTTTGGCCAAGAATCAACTTGAAAGTCTCAAGCTCTGGCTGTAGCCTCTGTGAAGGCTACTGAAAGATCAGGGACTTGCTGCCTTTTTCCCTCAGTTCACGTCTTCCCTTGTACTCCAGCACTTTTCTAACATGGTTGCACCGTTTTCCTACCCTTAACCCCACACATGCCTACCCACACTTACTTGTATGTTTTAGTGTAATCCAGCCACAAACCACAAATAATCGAACCCACCATTCCTGCCACCACCAGTGTCAAGCCAATTCTCCCAGCGTTCACTTCTTCTCCCTTTCAACAAATATTTATACGGTGCTCATTAATAACTTGCTTCCACTCAGAGTCAAGTTCAGACCTCTCGGCGGTCACAAACACAAACAAACATTCCTATGACTCCATAGCTGAATGACACGAGATGCAATAAACCATAGAGGGGTACAAAGGAAACCAAATGTCTGAGCACACACAGTGCCTATGTAACAAGAAAACTGCAAAAGTACAGTTAAAAACAAAAACACACATGCACACATTAAAAAGACAGTAAGAAGATTTGAGAAACTTACTTCATAATGTGTTATTATCATCTGGTTTAATAAAGTAGAGACAGAATAAAATGCCCCAGTCATAATACCTAAAAAAACAAAAGAGGACGATTCACCTCCTTGTCATTCAACATGTGTCAGTCAGAATTTACATTTGCATTATAAATATTTCCTACTAGATAATTCGGCAAAAAACCCACTGCTTGCCTGGATAGTCCTAGATTTTTCTCATAACAGTCTCATCTCTATGATCTGTCAAGGGCCACTGTCAAAGGCATTACTGGCTGCCAAGAAGAATTAGATTATATCCCTAAAGCTATCACATTCACTACTTCTGAAATTGAGAACTTCATGTAAATCACTCATACTTCAATTACTTTCACCAGTAAGGCGAGTACAGGGGTACTCCCTCTGAGCACAGGGTACAAGGCCATTTCTCTTTTTTTTCCCCTAGATTTTTTTTCTGACATAAAATGTCTGCAGTCACACATTTAGTTTCACTGTATAGCCCCCTTCCCAAATCTGAGGAAGACTGGTACATCTTTCACAGCCACAGAGACCAACAGTCACTAAAAGGAGAGGGAAAAAAAAAAAAAAGAGCTTTAAGTACCTATTTGGACTGTGTTGCCAGACTTCACAACTTACCATAACTGATCAGCAAAAGGACAAATGGAATATTTTTGAATAAATTAATAATCGACTGCTTGTAGGAGTAATCCTCAGGAGGCTGAGTTCGAAGGACTGCTTGAGAATGACTAGGAGGGTATTTGGGCTTTTCTTCAAACACTAGGGAAAAACAAAATGAAGAGATTTTGGTCTGCCTTTACCAGACGAACATTTTTCAAAATGCGAAGAGTTTTAGTTTGAGTGATTTCTGAGGATGCATTTGTGGTCTTTTTTAGTATTTTTATAAAATAATCATCATTTTCTCAGGGTAGAATCAAGCCACAGCCCCTAGGGATGTGCTAAGTATTTGTTCCTGACTGCTACACTCAGGGGTACACTTCACCAGCAAGGCATCTGGACTTTATTCTGCAGTTCATGTAATACAGATGCAGAAGTAGAAGAAATTTACATTCTAACACAAATGTCCTTTTGCTGGGTAGCAAGAAACTAAGTGAACCTGAGAGAGGCTGATCCACATGAAACATGACAAGGATGAGGAATTGGTCGTCTCTTATCCCTGACACAAGAAGTGAACATGAGTAAACCTCAGAAAAGGTAGCCTCAGTTACAGGCAAAGAGAAAAATGTATTAACTACCAAAGGCTTCAATCTCTTGTTTTCCACTTTGTTCTTGTATTTTTAAAGATGAAAGTTATGATCCCTCCTGGTAAAATCCCCTTGCATCCTTCTTAGATGTGAAAGCTCTCTGTTAATGTATTCATGAAAATAGTTTCCCCCAAAATTTCCTCAGAAGATGAGCAAGACCCAACCCCCTTAATCACAACACCTACTCCTTGTTTTTAATATTTAATTTTCTTTACAAAGGGCAAAATTAGGGTGATTTATTTCTTTAGCTTAGCTACTGAAATTAATCTACCTTTTATAATTGAGCATGTTTTGGAGTAAAACTGTGACAGTTCTGCAAGAAAAGAAGACATTAATGACTTGGAATTTCCTAAATATTTGAAAGTGTTCTTGAGCATATTCAGAGTCACGACTAGGCTGCTCTTCTCACATAGGCAAAATTTAGATCACCCAGTACAGCTGGCTAACAGATTCACCACTAAAGCTCCACACCACCTCAGTGTGCTACAGAGGGAGCCTGAAGATACCAGACAAGTAACTTTGAAGTTGTCACTGCCTAAAGTAAGATGGTCTAATCACTCCCTGTGGTCCCTGTACTCATGATATTATGAAAACAGATCACTTACCAACTCCGGTTAAGAGGAACAGGAGCGTGGATACTATTGCTGTTCCATAGAACATGATGCTTATATTATGTGCCATCAGATCGAGATCATTAGGTGTATTTGGAACCAAAACAGGTGGCAACAGAAAGCCAATCGCAGTGCCAAGCTGTAAAGCAAGAAAGAAAAGCAACATTATTTTCCTAAGAATATAAATTAATAAAAGTCAAGAGCCTTGCCAGGTAGGCTTCAGAATTTATACCATAATTACTATTAAAACAAACTATGAAGGCAAAGTGCACCTTCAGCATACTAGTTATGAGCCACTTGCTCTCACTGACACTTTACAATCAGGTTTTCAATGGCCCTGGTCCTTATCTTTTCATTTCTAGATTAAGCTGCAATTATATCTTTAGCAAACAGCATATTCAACTAAGCATTAAGGAAGTTCTTTTTACAAAGAGTATTTTCACAGGAGAATGTTATGCATGCACATTAACTTGTATCAGTAATCCTGTGCGCGAAGAATCAAAAATTGAGACAGAAGACTCCAGTTATTCCTGTAAAAACTCTTCTCTCTTTCTTCATCAAAATCCTGCTTTTGACATCGCAATCCTGCAGCTACTGCAGGACCAACACGCAACAGGAAAAAAAAATGTGTCCTCATTTAAAAAAATAAATAAAAAGAAATCTACAGCCAAAGAAACCTCCCCAAAGTAGTGAGTTTGTATTGCAACGTAGCAAGAAATTTAGTACTGAAAAATAACAAAAATCAACGACGGACCAAAAACTCCACTAAGTCTGATGTACCTATCTGAGATGCTATTTTTTTTTTTTAAATCAGCCACTCATGACAGCCCTTGGCATGTACATAGGTGCATTCCCAGTTATTTGCATTTCATCTGCAAATTATCAGGGCTTCAGAAAAAAACAGGCAATTTGATTTTTGATAACTACTCTGACCCTCCTGTCCGTAATGCAGGGACCTGCTTGCTATAGCTTCAAAGGTCTGCAAAATATCAGGTGCACAATATAAAGACCAACAGCCCCATGCACTGTAACGATCCGGCTCTTCTATAGAGCTCACCTCGTGCGATTAGACAAGCACGAGATATGTAATTGAGGCTAGTATCCTAATGCATATGCAGAAGGTGGCTGCACTGTTATACACAACATTAATTGCAGCAGGCTTTTAAACTTTCAAGTGCCTAATTTGTCATCTTACTCTTTCAATCTAGGTTTTGGAAAGTTTTTTTTTTAAAAAAAAAAAAAGAAAGTTAAACCAAAAATCGGAAATTTTCTATTGCTTGGCACTGTATAAATCTTTATGGGTTATAGGCAACACGAGGATCTTAAGACCTATAGCACAAGCTCTACAACTGGAGCTGGTGGAGTACTGGCCAGCTGCAGAAGAAGACACGATGTGCAGAATTGCCTGAGGAAGGTGAAAGCCACCTTCTCTGTGCGTTTCCCAGATATTTACCAGGCAGCAGAAGACCACCGACTACTTGGATGCTCTAAGAGAAGTCCTAGCCTCTGCAGGGGAATGTGCTCCAGCAGGCACCTAAGTTCCCACATTCACACCTCTGCTACTGCCGCTTTCCCTTGCCTTCCCCGCTCTGCACTCCCGACTCTTCCTCTTGCCCTTCACCACTGCATCCCCAGAGCAGAGCGGAGCTGCTGCCTGGCACAGGGATGCACAGGAGCGCAGGCCATTCAGCTGCCAAGGAAGTCCTCAGTCCGACTCCTGGAAGCAGATGCTAGATCTTTGCTGACAGCTAAATAATAATAATAATAATAAACAGTCTAAAATGGGCAGTTGGTTTGTCCACTGACGACCTCAGCTTTTTTTTTTTTTCGAAATAAAAAAGTTGAAAAACAGTAAACCGACACATAACAAAATAACAAGCAACTCTTAACCACGAATACGTACCATTTCACCCTTAGCAAACCAGAGGGAAACATAACTAGTGAGAGAGCCAAGGCAGGCCAAACCAAAGCTCTGTAAAGTTAACCAACGGGCACCTACGGCTGCAGCCTGCACCAGACGGCCCCGTGGGGACCCGACTGCTTCGCTGTCCCAGGAAAGCGGGGCCAAGGCTGTGAGACGGCAGGGCGGGGAATAAACATTATCTATAATAATAATTTTAAACAGACACATCGTCTTATTTGTTGGACCGATACAGGTCTGGCAGGCGTGGGGGCTGTAAAGAAATCCGTGCCTGGGCTGCTTATCAGCTCCCCGTGCGACTTATCGAACCCTTACGGAAAAGGTCGCGAGTCGGCGAGCGCCGACTGGCTCTGCTGCTGCTCAGTGCTTCATGGCCGTATTTTAAAATGGAAAAAAAAAAAAAAGAAAGAAAGAAAAAAAAAGGAAGAAGTGGGTGGACAGTGCAAGTTCATCAGTACGTTCTGCAGAGCGAGGCGGGGTGAAACGCTGCCTGCCCAGCTGCCCATCACTGCTGCCTCTGGCTCCATCAGTCCTTCCCCTCCACATTCCTCTCTCTAACAAGACCGACTATGAATAAATAACAGTAACAAGGAGGCAACAGGGCC